TTTTTTTCCTTTAATGGTCACTATTTCAATAATTATATCATGACTTTTTAAACCCATCTAGCTTTCAGTTATTGTTCAATACCTAGTTCAAATATCTCTGGGAAATACGGGCTTATGTAAACTTAAGAGTTACCTTTTCTCTGCTCCCAGAGTCACCTTGTACATACTTTACCATTGCATCTTTCTGTGTGAAAGCTCACTAACCTATAAGCTTGCTGAGCAACCATCCTTGTATTCAGTAACACCAATGCCCAGTTCAAAGCATTAGCATCTCCACCTGGGATAATGAATAGCTTTCTAACTAGTTTTCTTCTTTCTCACCCTTACTTCCACCCCCACCTGGCATCACCTTTGTACCATGTCATTCCCATTTAAATCCTGTAATAACTTCTTGGTTCACTTAAAATAAAATAACAACTCCTTACTCTGGCCTTCAATGCCCTGCATGATCGGCCCTCACCCACATTACCTCCTTACTCACTATACTCCAGCACACTGGCTTAATTTCAGTTCCTTTAAGCAAGCATTCAAGCTCCTTCCCAGCTTTCGGGCTTTCAAACAAGCTATTCGCTTTGTCCATAACTCTCCTTACTTCTAAATCTTCAAATACCTGGCTCCTTTTCATCTTCCAGTCTCAAAAATCACTCCCGAGCATGGGCCTTTCTTGACTACCCAATCTAAAGTTTTACCAATAGTTTAATTCTTATTACAGCACGCTAGAAACAAATGTTTTATTTTTATCTAAAACAGAATTGATTAACATATATGGGGTGCAGGTATCCCTTTGACATGATGCTTTCCATTCGTCTGAGTACATACCCAGCAGGGAGATTCCTGGGTCATAGTAGTTCTATCTGTAGTTGTTTGAGAAACCTCCATACTTTTTTCCATAATGGCTGCACTAACTTACAGTCCCTACAACAATATATAAATGTTTCCCGTTCTCTGCATCTTCACCAATAATTGTCATTGAAAATGTGGTACATATACGCAATGAATATTACTCAACCATACAAAAAATAGTTCTACCACTTGCAGCAACGTGGATGAGTTTAGAGAAAATTATGTTAAGTGAAATAAACCAGGCACAGAAAGAGAAATACTGCATGTTCTCGCCCATATGTGGGAGCTAAAAAAAAGAAAAAAAGAAAAAAAAGAAAAAAAAGCAATCAAACAAAAAAATAAATTGAACTGTTAAAAGAAGCAAAGAACTATGGTTACTAGAGGCAGGAAAGGGGAGAGGAGAAGAGGGAAGTCAGAGACTAATTAATGGATACAAAAGTACAGCGAGACAGGAAAAATAAGCCCTACTGGTGTACAGTCAACCCAGAAATCTATAATCAGTAATGATTTACTACATGTAACCAAACGACTAGAAGAGATGAGATCAAATGTGCACATCACAAAGAAATGATTAAGTTTCCCAATGATGAATAGACTACTCTGAACAAATCAGCACACACTGTATACATGTATTGAAATATAACTCTGTACTCCGTAAATATGTACAATCAATGTTTTAATAAAATCTTAAAAATAAATAATTGAATCTATCACGTTAAAAAACAAGTTCATTTTAATACATAAGTTTGTTATAAAAAGGTTGAGTCCCTGATGATATATGGTTGTATTATGTTTCAGGTCCACTAGGATTACACTTTCTTAAAGGCCCACATTTCCTTTGTTCACAAATATGAACAGTGACTACCTTGCACATATTATTCTCTATCACGGTATACAAGACCTTTCATCGCAGAACTAATTTCATTCAAAGTTTACAAAAAAAAAAA